ACAAATAATTTAATTAAAAATTGTAAATATTGTTCAATAATAAAAATGCGTTGTTTTTGCATGTAGCCTTCCATTTTTAATAACCCTGAACTGTCAACTATCACGTTACCTTTTCTTTTTCAATGGCAACACTTTATCGCGTAAATGGGGTAAAATTTAAATCTTGCTTGAATTTAGGAACACTCTATATATGGTGTTATGGTGTTAGAATATTTTTTGAAAAAATAGAGAAGCTTCGAAAATTTATTTGTGAATGGCAAGCATACTTCTGATGATTAAAAGTCTTTAAAAGAAAGACAAGAAAAATAAAAATATGATGCATATGGATAGTATGTATAAATTTTGAGAATTTAATATCTAAAATAAATATGGCGATCTAGTGTATAGTACTACGTGTATGGTTGTGAGGAGTACGTGCTATTTTATGAACCATTTAAAATTAAAATATTAAAAATATTGAAATATAAATATTCAAATACTATAAAACGAAATTTGATAAATAAAAATGAGACACTATGAATTCCCCATATCAAAGTTTAAATATAAGCAAATAAGTGATTTATTTATTATACTTATTATTAGGTTGGTAGAAAAATAATTTCCTTTTTTTGTATTTTCGATTTTTACTGTAGCTTGATATTGGAATAAATTATTTTGTAAATGTAGTTATGTAATGTATCGTTCAAAAGCGCTGACTCCGCTCTGTATTTTGATAATAAACATTTTGCATGTAGTGATGATTTACGTTTTATTTAGGTCATTTAATTAGAGATGGAAAAGAAGCAAAAGGAAATTATTTTTCTATCAACCTAATATTATACATTTCCTAAAGAATTTATTCAGGTATGTATATTTTTACGCTTTTTAAAATTGTTTAATACGAAATTTCTCGTGAAAGTAATAGTCCAAGGTGTCTGACACTTAGGTGTCTTCCTAAATAGTCGTTTCGTGGCGTTTCTTTGTCGAGTGAAGATGTTACTGGCGAACTATGGTGGTTAGAGATAAATCATATCCTGAGCTATTTTTCTCAGGAATGGTGTCATAAATCACACGGGACTAAGGATGCAATTTGTAAGCTTAATTGTATTACCGTTGAATCACTGAAAGTTTCTAGAGTTCGGTGCATAAAAGAGTTCGCCAAAATTAATTACTTCGCCCTCGGAATTTAATGTATCCCTTTGTACCGTTTTATTAATGAACGAAGGTATTGTTCATAAATCATCGCGGTCTTCCATCAATCACGCGTGGAAACGAGAGAAATAAAATCATAAATATCGTATATATAATCAAATAACTCGAGAATCTAATTATGCATTAATATCGAATGGCCAAAAATTTTTAGACCCGAAAATATCAAAGACATTATTGAAATTGATTAACTTGGTCTCGAAATTTCAGAAATTTCTTTCCCAATTTATTCATTAATTTAGGTCCTCACAAAAATGTGTTCTTTAAATCATCATGCTAGTACAATTAATTTTTATGATAATATTATAATTAAATAAAAATAATTCATTAATTAGGTTCAATGATAACGAATTATTTCTGTACTGATTCCTCTGTTAGTATCTTAAACATTATCAAACCTATTCAAACTCTATATTTCTATTTTACTATTTTATTTTCAAGACCCAACAAAATGAAATTTGAAGTAATACTGATAATTACGATAAAATAAAGCTTAAATTAAATAAAATAAACCTTAAATAGATAAAATTTCTGAGAATTTAACAAGAAGTATTATTAAACGTGTGAACTTATCCTAAATCGGGATCAAAGGAATTTCTCCACCTACCTATACCTAAAGAGAAATCATAGTGAATTAATAAATAAGAAAGAGGATTGATGAAGTGATCGTTCGATAAAGTTCTAATAATAACGCTAAGAACGATATTCAAATAAAACCCACATAGATTCGTGATTAAAAACTTTCACAAGCTTCCATCAAACATTACCATGCATTTCAGATCATCCTACGCTATCATCGAATGGATTTCTTCACATGCGAGATCCGAAAGAGAAATCACAGTGAATTTATGGATAAAGAAAGGGATCAACGAATTGATTATTCGAAAATTCCAATAATAATCAAACAAAACTTCTCACAGACTTCTCTAGAGTCTCACAAGCTTTCAGCTCATCCCACATTAGACTCAATCAAATTCCATATGACCAGGTCGAGAAAACAATCATAGTTAATTCATAAATAAGAATATGAATCTAAGAATTGATAATGTATCAAAATTCTAATAACAATATCAAAGATAATTAAACAAAACCTAGGTCCATTCACAATTGAAACTCCTTAATTGAGTTCTCAGTTCATGCCACGCCAGAATCAGACAAATTTCTCTACTTGTTCCAGAAGTGTAATAGAAGAATCATAGCAAATCCATGAATAATAAAGAGAATCCTTGAATCAACACTTTACCAAATAAAATCCCAAAACAATACTAATATCAATCACCAAATCCTGAATAGACTAAAATCTCATACAGTCCTTTAATGAGTATCATCACACATCTTCCTTCATGTCAGATCAAAATTAGCTAAATTTCTTCTTATCATGCGATGAAATGAAAAATCACAGTGAATTTATAAACTAGAAAGAAAATCTTCGAATCGATTCTCCAGAAGAATTTCAACAAAATTGGTATCGATAATCACTGAGACATGCAGGGACCAAAGTGTATCACAGTCCCTTAATGAACGCCATCACACATCTCTATCTCATACAAAAATCAGTCAAATTCCGTTATCTGATCGCGAGAAATAAAAAATCACAGTGAATTCATAAATGATAAAGAAAATCCTACCAAACTCGGTATCGATAATCACCGAGACTTGCAGGGACCAAAGTCCCTCACAGTCCCTTAATGAACGCCATCACACATCTTCCTTCATCTCATGCAAAAATCAGTCGAATTCCTCTATCTGATTGCGAGAAATGAAAAATTACGGTGAATTCATAAATGACAAATAAAATCGTCGAATCGATTCCGCAATAAAATCTCACCAAAATCGGTATCGATAATCACCGAGACCTGCATGGACCAAAGTCTCTCAGCGTCTCCCAGAGCGCACCATCACTCATCGGCGCTGATCCCACGCCAGGACGAGGCAAAAGCCTCCGTTTGGTCTTGCCGAAAGAGAAATCCCGGCGAATTCATAAATAAGAAAGAAGATGCTGGAATCGATCATCGGTGAAACTCGGGGATGAGCAGCGGGCATAAGACACCGTCCACGGCTGACGAAATAATTAATCCGCGCCTCCGTGGACAATGTAATGCCTCGGACAACGGAATGTTAATCGAGCTGTCGAAAAAACCGGTCCACGGGCAAAAAGGCAAAGAGCCCTGCCGGCCCAGGCCTGTCCATTTATTTATTCGCGGATCTCGCCGGGCACGCTCGAATGAACTTTCGCCGTGCGACACACACGTGACATGTCGCTTTTAAACGAACCAACGAACGGAATGGTCATGAATAAAACGATAGGTATCGAGTCACCTGGACGTTTTGTAGTACTACACCGATGGCGGGCTGCGCCCGTTCCCTGCACACGTGTGCATCGCTGTCCCTCCTAATGCGAGCTGCACCAGCCGCATGCATTATTAATACGTTTTCGGCGCGGGACCAAGCGAGCTCCTCCCCACAGGATGCGCGGCTCCGGTGCTACGTGTACCTACAGCGGGGTACCTCGCCGAGGTTTTCGTCTATGCCGTGATGAATGGCAGGTGAGTAACGCGGTACACGAGTTAAAGAGTATCGTGAGAGGTCGGAACAACTACCGAGTATGATGCACACTGGGCTTGAGAATTAAGGGATACTGTGCATTGGAGGTCTGAGACTGTTGGATTCTTCGTGTGCGATGAATTGAATGCAACGGAATTATTTTTCCTAAATTTCGTTGGATTTTGGTGTGTATAGTGGGTTTTTAAAAAGGATCCAAGAGGGAACGTGGGTGGAAGCTTGGATCGGTGTTTGGTCAATTGGGGAAAGTGGAGGGAGTGGGTTTAGATGAAAGAAATGATTTGTGGAAGTTCAGATGAATAGATATGTGGGTACTTTTTGAAATTTCTTTGTTGCAAGAAGATTTAGTCATTTGGTATTCATTTTCTATGAAGATTACAATTACAATAGGGGGATATCTTAGGCGGAATATGCGAGTAGATGAATAAATCATTTGGTTCTTTATTTGGTTAAATTACTTCGAAGGAACTATTCACAATAGTCACAAACTCTTTAATAATTACGACGAATAAACCCAACTCATCTGAAAATAGTCAGGTTAATATATTCTAAATGTACTACAATTGGACAAAATTTTATCAAAGTTCCATTAAACATCTCAAAAAAAAAAAAGAGAATTCATTTAGACAAATTTGGCTTTCTATCACAGAAAATAACTTAATTACTATCTACATTAAATGAGCACTACTCGTTTAAATATACTGACATATATGCCTTACATATATATAATAACAAAAAAATGTTAATTACCATTTAATTACCATCTATATTAAATAAATCCAACTCACCTAACATTAAACTTACCACCACTGGTCGAATTGACTAATGAATTCAAAAAGGAAAATCTCTAAAAATGTAATTGATATTTTCAACTAATCCTACATTAATTCAATTTCTTTGCATAAATAGCACAGCAAAATCTGTACTATCTATATTAATTACCCATATACCAGATTGTCAACGACAAAAGAAAAATTACCCCAAAAAATCTATAATTGAATATTTTTTAAAATACGTACTTCATATGGAAATTTTTAATGAAAGAATAATAAAGAAAATCGAGTAAGAGAAAATACTGAAAAATTAAGTAAAAGATAAATTACGTAGTCAATTGACCAAAACGATAATACTGAATGCAAAATTTAAAATCAAATGTTTAAAAACATTAGGAAAAGGAAGAAAAAATATATTTGACCAAAATTCTATGAAATAAAACGGCGGAATAATTACAGGAAATAAATGCAACTCACCAATCACGCCGCAGTTTTGCGCCCTGTCCTCATCATCGACGTCGTTCATGCGCCCAGGGTCCACGTTGTGCGGCCGTTTCCTCTGGATGGCGTGTTCCAGCGAAAATTCTAGAGAATCCTTGTCACTCTCCCGCCAGGGCTTGGCTGGTTCAATTATGTAGCTTCCCGTCGACGTTCTCACGTGGCCCGTCTGCGGGAAAAAAAGTATGCCAAAAATTCGGTGAGTCACCCCGCCATGATTGGCCTTTATCTCCTCAATGAAACGGGCTACCTTACTGGCTAACCCTTTCTCTCCTATCCTTCTTTCGCCACCTCGTGTCCATCTCTTTCTTCTTCTCGCGTCACCAGCCATCGAACCGTGAAATTTCGTCCAATTGTCCGCGTTATTTCTAGCCAGATCACGTCTGATAAGCTTCGCGGTCGAAACCGTGCTCGTCGCGGTGAAAGTGATCGATGGAAATTTTTCCTGCCCCCTCCTACTCCTTTCTCTTTTTCCATTTTATCTCTCCCCTTTTTCCTCCACACCGAGAGAGGAGGCCGCGTGTAAACACGATTTTTTCATTTTTAATAGCCGCAGTTTACCCGATGGTTTCGCCAACCCGCGATTCATTGTACGGTGAAAGGGGATAATTGATTCGCGAGCATTTTTATGGGACCCCGTTGGCTGGAAATTGGCGCGAAAAGAGGACGTTGTTTGGTCAATCTCGTTTTACGGCAAATGGTAACGAGAAAGAGTTCAATGTAGGCTTTTACGAGGCTGTTTACGATTTTTATATTGGCAGATGACGAATTTCATTTTTCGTTTAAAATCTAGATCGATGCTTGAGAAACGAGGAGATGGACACGTGTCTTTGGTTTGAAATCCTTCGACGTTGAATTTTGGAAATTCTTGGGGGTATTTTATGGGGGATTATCGAGTCGAAGGTGGAGTATAGTGATTCGATATTTTTTGGGAGAGGGTGATTAAGGGTGAGATGATTTAGTGTATTTATATAATAGGAAAGTTTGTTTGGGATAATTTAATGTTTTTCGAGGAAACGGGTGGTCGGGATAAATGATGGAGATTCGGTTAAAAATACTCGTAGCGTATATTTTTGAGATTAAAGGATGAGATCGACTATTCTCACGAAGCATAGATCAATGACCGGTAGCGTGAATCATCCGCGGTATTCGAAGACTCGTTTCATCGAAATTTTGGCATCCGCGCCATTCTTTTCGAGGACACTGCAAAAATTTCTGACCTGTGTTGTCACCTTTTTGTCCATTCGATGGTCGTAAAATATACAACGTTGAAGATGAATTTTATCGCTGAACGTGTTCATCCCATAAAACTCTCAGCCGACGTACTTTCCGCCGCTTGATAAATTACACCACTTCGTGACTTTGATTTTTTACCAGCTTTCGTTCGTTTGCCAAATAATTACTACTTTCGCGAAGTCAAGGGAAACCTTTTGTAAGCTGTTATTACCAAGGTTTTCACTTCTTTCTAAATCAATTACGATCATCTCGATGCGAAAGTTCAGAGCTAAATGTAATTATTAAATATTGTGGTATGACGTGTTGATTATGACAATCGGTTATTAATTTAGTTACTGTAGTTTAATGGCTATGAGAAAGGTTCAGAGATTCGAGAATGCAAGAATTCAGGAATTCAGATACCTCTAGAAATTCAAAGATTCAAGAATTCAGGAATTTAAATATTTAAAAATTCAAAGATTCAAAAATTCAGGAATTTAAATATTTAGAAATTCAAAGATTCAGGAATTCAGAAATTAAAGATTCAAACATTCAAAGATTTAAGAATACAAGAATTCAAATATTTAGAAATCCAAAGATTCAGGGAATCAGAAATTTAAAGATTCAAAAATTCAAAGCTTCAGAAATTCAGAAATTTAGGGATTCACAAATACGAAAAGAAAAGAAAAAAAGGAAAAAGCAAGAATTCAGAAATTTAAAAATTCAAGAATTCAGGAATTCAAACATTTAGAAATTCAAAGATTCAGAAATGTAAAAATTCAAGAATTCAGGAATTCAAACATTTAGAAATTCAAAGATTCAGAAATGTAAAAATTCAGTAATTCGAGAATTCAAATGTTTAGAAATCCAAAGATTCAGAAATTCAGAAATTTAAAGATTCGAGAATTCAGATATTCAAATATTTAGAAATTTGAGGGTTGAGGGTTCAGTAATTCAGAAATTCAAGAATTCAAAAATAAAAAAAGGAAAAAGGAAAAAGAAAAAACCGGGAAAAGCAAGATGTAATTTCAAATTTGCGGAATAACTTGCCGATAGTTCGAACAGGATCGCGATCGGCAGGCACAGATAGCGAACCGTTTCGCGGATTAGTCCGCCGCATTCGTCGCGATTTATTTATACATGCAGCGTTGCCCTGACATAACTTCCTCGATTTGAATGTGAAACACACCGGCTACATGGGACGCCCCCGCTAAACATATGCCACCCACGTAAATTCCGTGTGAGGGCAAAGCCGCGGATCGCGGACGAACTCGAGCGGATCAGGTGAAAATAATCGATTAAAAGCGAGCGTGTTCGGCGTGCCAGCGCTCTCTTGTGCCTCCTTGTTATTCCGATTATCGCAGTCGATCTTAATCCGATTGCATAATTATTCTCCGGCTTTTTGTACTTCGTATTGCCCCTGCGACGCGTTCCATGGTGTCTTATGGCTGCGAGATTTTACAAGATAACGAGACAGAATCTTGTTACGAGATATTTGTGGATCTAGATTTCGGAGATACTTAGACTCCTGATTATTTCATTTTTTGCCAACTTCTCCATCTTTTTTAACCCAATTTTGAAGGTCAGGAATTTTATATAATTTTATACAATTATATAACTAAAAATAAATAAAATATTTGCAAAAATAATTGCAAAGGAGAAGAATCTTTTGTGACGAAGATATTTATATTAAATAGATGTCTCGAATTTCGTTTCATTATGTATTTAAAACAAATATGTTATTCAAAAACGTAACATTAGAGAAAAGAATTTCAAATCCCCATATGTTGTTTCACGGATTCACAAATTATTCACGAAATACCAATCTTTCAATTTTCAAATTAACAACAATTTAGGAAAAATCAATTTCACAACGATACTTTCAGAATTCCCAAAAATACCTAAATTAAATATAAGCTCATAAAAAGCACGATTCAACGTCCTCGAGCACGAAACAAGACTCGATGACGACGAAAATCCTCTAAATATACTCACGAGTATTCACGAATCGTGAATCTTACGACTTTCATTAAATACCACGAAAATACTTCCAAATCCAAAATTTCCAATATCACCAGAAAACAATTTTACAAACGCGAGAAACACGAAGAGCGAAAGAACCAATTCGGATATCGCGAGTAATGGCTACCTCGGGTCTTAAGCAAACACGACACCTCGAGCAGATCATCGATTCATCACGATCTCGATTACGACTTTCATTAAATATCACGAAAATACTTCCAAATCCAAAATTTCCAATATCACCAGAAAACAATTTTACAAACGCGAGAAACACGAAGAGCGAAAGAACCAATTCGGATATCGCGAGTAATGGCTACCTCGGGTCTTAAGCAAACACGACACCCCGAGCAGATCATCGATTCATCACGATCTCGGAAGGGGATATGAAACTGCAGAAAGACAGAAAAATGACGAGCTATATGTACTCCTGATCGTCCGCGAAATTGCCTGTTGATCAACGGCGGGTCTAATTGAGAAGCTTATAATTAGCATCGGTGGAGCAGTTGCACGGCAGAAGAGTCTCGTGGACTGGTTCAACCAGAGCCAGAGAAAGTCGACCTAATTAATTATTGCTCCTAATTACAGGAATCTCGGCTCGTGGCCGAGGAGAACCGAGCGATGAGTAACGATTCGCCGGTTGAAGGGCGGCTAACGGCTGTACGTCGATTAGCAACGCCTCCTTAACGCACTTCCGCTTGTAATTCCATAGCCTCCAACCTGGACTCGCCGATATGCAGATCGCCCTCGAACGATCTGGCTCTGAATAGGTTGAACAGGAGTCGTTGCGTGTTTACGCGAGATCAAGAGGTCTCAGCCTCGCGGAGGAGCAGCCTCAGACCTCAGCGATGATGTCCGAGGGATTCTCGGAAGATGCCGATGGTTTCGCTGTTAATCTATTAATCGTGAACACGATCGCGCATTTTTCCTCGTCTTTTTACTCCAGTTCCGCTGTCTTCGTGACCGTGATGGCTGTCAGGTAGGTCTCGTTAACGAGTTCGAGCTAGCTGCTTTATAATCAGGTAGCTGTAACTAGCTATCTGTTTCCCTGGCTCGACGTCATTTCTGGATAGTTGAATTATAAACGGCGTGCTTTCCAATTTCATTCGCGGCTGTTAATGCTGATGAAAAGGGAGAAGAGTCTCGTTGGGGAAAATTAAACAGGTTGAGGTTAGACCGTGAGTAGCGATTTGCTTTCAGCTGTTGAGAGCCTAGGGGGAGCAGAGGAGTGCACGGTGTATTAATTATTTTCAAGCGATTAATATTGATCTTGATCGGTGATGTTTGCATGTGATCTTTGTGTAGGTAGGATCGGATTCTGGATGGATGAACTTAAGATAGTATTGTTGGCTTCTTAATAGGATAAAATAAGCTTATAAAGAGAATGACGGCGGCTGGCTATGAAAAAAGAGAGATTCGCTATGGGCACGCTCTTCTATTTTTCTTAATACTTTGGCTGCCATGTTGGTCATATATAATTCGCCATGGTTTCTTTTGTGACGCCACGGTGGTCATTGGTATTGTAGTAAAATTAAATAATAAAGTGAACTCTATATCCTAGCGATGTGGGGGCGATCCCTTCCCCTGCGTTTTGTCTTTTGTCTCCAGTCTTCTGAAGACGAATTGTGATCTGCGTAGCCCTAAACAGGCCAGTTCTAACCGTTCGCCTGTTCAATAAAGATTTGTACAGTTTTTCCACAGTTTCCACTGACTACTACTCCTTTGCGTTACAACCCCTTTAATAATTGGTGACCGGAGCGCTTGAATTACTCGTAAAACTACAATTGTAAAAATTGAATGAAAATTGTCAGTTAATACATTTTGAATATAATCGCTAATTAGAAGATACTTTAAAATAACAAGTGCCCCATTGAACAATTAAAAATTTTTATCAGAAATGGCAGTCAAAGAGTTAAACTGACTTTAGACTTTGAC